GTCCCAAGCCAGCTCTTAACCAACGTGCCACTCGGCTGGCCCAGGACCATACTTTTCATCACCCCTTCAGTGGGGTCTGGGCGCCCAAAGCTGAAGAACTACCATAAAGTCCGTGGTGGGAGAACTGTGGTCTAGTAGGGCAGTTGGGGGACCCCCTGAAAGAGCCTAAAGGGGAATCTGAACTCAAGGTGGAAGCTGGGACTTGGGGACCAGTCCACGGGGGACCTGTGTCAGAGGATATGTGGGGGACACGTTGTGAGAGGACCCCTTCCGGTTCCACCTCCCGTTTCCCATCTGTTGGGGCAAATGCGGGAGGAGGGCCACCCCCAGCCTTGGGGGTAGGGCCTGGGGAGAAGACAGAAACAGACATAGCAATTTCAAAGATAACCAGAAACGCTCTTTATTTACTGGAACGCAACACGTGGGCCCAGCCCTGAACCAGAAACAACTTAAAAATCTGACTAGGGCTTTTCTTTGCCCCTTAAAACAAAAGCTAGGCAGTTGCCATTCCCATCCGGGCACCTAAACCCCTTTCCTGTTGGAGTTTCGTTGACTTAACTGTTGGAGGTTGAAAAATACAGGAGAAAGAAAAAAAAAAAACCAAAGCAACCTTTAGCAAACTATCACGATTTGGGGGGTTTCATGGGAGGTGGTGGAGAGAAGCCCTCTTGCTAGGGGAAAGGACCCCTGGGTGATTTGCGGTTGGGGGCAGGAACGCAGTGAAACAAATGAACCACGGGAAACACAACGAGAGACAATTATTGGGTGTCAACTCACCCCAAGGCTCTGCCTCCCCGGATAAGCCTGCCGAGGCATGGTGCCCCTGTAGTGTGTCCCCTTCCTCCCCGGCTCCTGATGGATGGGCTACAGAGGGCAGGGAAGGAATGACCCAGTTTGGTCCATGATAAAACCATGGGTCTGCAGGTGGCTGAAGGAGGAGGACAAGGCTGGCCTCCAGGCTGAATCCCATCTTGAAGTTCTTGGGCTGGAGGTCCAAGCCAGTCTTGCTCAATCTTTCCGCATTCTGGCCTGGGAGAACATGAGCGGGTCCTATAGGTCCCAGGATCCAAGAATTCCACAAGGAACGGAATCTGGGGGCGGGCTGAGGAGCCAAAGGGGCAGGGCTAGTGTCACCAGCAGGCCCCAGAAAGGCTAAAGATCCATGAACTGTAGCCCTGAAGGAACTACAGAGTAGTGTGGTCCAAGGGGCAGAGATCCTGCTTCACCAAGAACCCACAGACACCCCCAGAACAGAGCCCCACAGTCTGAGAGGTCCCAGAGGCAGGGCTGGCCTGGCCCCCCAGCAGTCTTCATTGTTTCAGGATCCATCAGGGCTGCAGTTCTGGAGACCAGAAATTCCAAAGAGCTGGATGAGTCACGGGGGTGGGTCCAGGGACTTGGTAGGGACTGAGCCAGGAGGGTTAGGGGTGAAGGGTTTGGACACCTCACAGCCTTCAGCGCTTGACCTTGCGGCCAGCCGAATTGCGCCCGCTGCGGCGGTACAGAGACTGATGGCCACCGTTGAGTGGGCAGTACTTGAGCGTGTGGGCCTGGCCACCGGTGGCCCCGCACAGGGGACACACATAGTGCCGTAGAATGGGACACATCACTTCGCCCTCCGGTGTCTTCAGCTGGTGCGAGGAGTAGACGTGACGAGACTCTCCGTTATGCTTGCAGAAATTACACAGGATGGCCGGGCATCCGCTGGCCCCTGAGCCTCTGCTGGCCCCCAACATTCCCAGTCCCTGATCCTCCCCCAGCTGGGGCCCGGGTCTTGGCTCCCCAATCCCTTGGGCCTCTGGCTGTTGCCCCCGACTCTGGATCAGTGCCAACACCACCTGGCTCAGGTTGAAGTAGTCCTTCCACATGTCGAAGGCTGGCAGCTGCATGGCACACAGGCAGGAGTGGTGGGCGGCTGGAGAGGCTGGGGCTGGGAGCCAGAGGGCAGGAGCAACACGTAGCTTTCTGGAGCTGAGAGGAACTGCACCCCCTTTTATACTCCCCAAAGACCCTTCTAAGCAAAGGTGGAGCTTAGGATTTAAAGGGCCCACTCCCTACCCATGACTTCCATCTGACTTGAATCCCCCACGGAGATCGGGAAGGAGGCCATTCCCAGTGCCTCTGGTCCTTGTTGTGCCTCCTGGTTGCTCTGTGATCTCTGGAAAGGCCCTCCCCCTCCCTGGGCCTCAGTTTCCCTATCCATTCAATAAAGAAAATGTCCCTCATCCCCATCCTTTCTTACCCCAAGACTGGAAACTTATTCCATATCCTCCAGAGCCACTGGAGTAATAATAATAACAGCCCCTAACTATGAGCCAGACACTGTGCTGCACAGTTACCTTTATGATCTGATTTAATCATCACAACAGCTCCGTGTGGGAGACGCAGTTATGAACCCCATTTTATAGACCAGTTACCTGAAACTCAGAGAGGGAAGCTCTTTGGCCCAAAGTCACATAGCCTGCAAGTGGCAGAGCTGGAGCTCTAACCCCAGGCCTGTGAGACTCCAAAGCAAGTGCCCCCTCCCGCCCCACCTCTCTTGGATTAAAACCTAATTTCTCCTCATGTCCCAAATTTATTCAACAAATATTTACTGAGAGCATACTACGGTGTTCAGTATTTTATAAACACGATCTATCACCATGATTTGAACTCCAGAACCATTCAAGGAGGAGGACACTGCCGTTTCCATTTTATAGAGAAGGATATGAGACTCAGAGAGGTTAAGGAGTATACTCAAGGTCACACAGTAGGGAAATGGCAGAGTTGGGCTTCGCACCAGGCCTGGCTCCAGAAACACTGGAATTGGTCTTAGAAGCAGCTGAGTACCTTGGCATGGCACGGTCTCACTGAGAATGCCCTGCCTTGACCTTGTACAGTGTCTCTGTTTTTCCTGTCCTTCAGGACCAAACAAAAGCCTTGCTTCCTGCCCATGCTACCTCCAGGAACTCTTCCTCTACTTGTGATCTCCAGTAGTGTAGTGGCCTTGACCACTCAACACATAGGCATTGAGGCCCCTCGTGTTGGGTGCTGGAAACTCAGCAGTGCCCACGGCTGCTTTGTGCCTGTTTCATCAGCAACCAGTCCATCAGGGGAATAAAGCTATAGACCAGAAACACCCGAATATATGATAGACAGGGTTCTCTGAGAGAGGGTGGGCTGGGGGAGGTGACCTGGATGCTGAGACTATAAAGGAGAATCTTCCAGGAAGAGGAACACAAGATATGGAGGCCTGAAGTTGGGGGACAGCAAGGGGGCTGGGGTGGTCAGAATGGAGTGAGGATCCCACGACGAGGCCAGCTGGGTGTGCAGAGGCTGGATGCCATCAGAGTGTGGATCTCCCTCCAAGAATATTTGGGAAATGGTGGGGACCATTGGGGTTTGTCACAATGATTGGAGGTGTGACTGGTTTCAGTGGACAGGGATGCCAGGTATCTTCAACAGTCTACATGACCAAGATCTGTCCGTGGCCCCACTTAACTGGACACCCATGTAGGAACAAAAACCCATTTATGATGATCTGAGTCTAGAACCTAGCTGAGTGTTACATATAAACACTGAGTGTTTTGGCAATATTGTAAGATACATCGATTTCTCCTGGAATTCAACTAGCTGTGTACATTGTGGCCTGCCTGTTTTTGGTTCTGTTGGGAATTTTATCCAGAATTTTCACTATTTCTGGAAGCCACATCACCCCAGACAACGCTGATTGTGTTAACTGTCCAAACAACACACAGTTTCTTCCTATCTCATTCATGGTGCGTGTACACATAGATACTAGTATGTGCCTGATGAGATGATTTTTTAGAGCGGCCATGTCTGAGCATTTATATACAAAAATAGATTATTATTTTATTATAAGTTGCTGTCTTTTTTATTTCTCATTTGTAGTTCAGTTAGGACATAATTTTAATTTTTGGAAGTAAAATTTGTGTGTTGGTAGACTATTACCAATGAGTTTAATTTCAGAATACTAAAGGGGCATTTTTTTTTTAAGATTTTTTATTGGGGAATTGGGGGGATGGGAACAGTGCTGGGGAATTGGGGGAAGGGGAACAGACAAGTTGCTGTCCTTTTGTTCTTCAGTCTAGTNGGGAGATTGTGAACCCAGACAGCCTGACTCCAGAGTTAAGCAGTTTCCATTATCCTGTGATGTTTCTCAACAACCTCTGAAAATACACAACTAAAACAAGAGTTCCTCGAAGCAATACTTACCTAATGACATACAATGAATTCTGATATTTTCCTCTTCTGTTTTATTTTGTTTGGTTGTTTAATGCTGGTTGCAACCCAACTAAATATTTTTCTGGACCCACGAATGGGTCAAAATGAACAGTTTGGAAAACATGCCTTAGAATGCCTTCCCTGACTCACCCCATCCTTGCCCTTTGACCTCCCGCATCCTACCTCAACATGCCCACACCTGCAGAGTTCCATATGCCTCACCTCTGCCCATGGCCCTCTGGCTCCAGCCTTCTCATCAGCTCCAGACCTGCTTTAGACCCACCTCCTTCCTCGGACTCCTGTGGTGCCAACAGCATCCTGGATGCCTCCCCTGGATGCCCAGCATATTCGTTTCTAAGGCCTGCCGAAACGAATGACCACAAACTGGGTGGCTTAAAACAACAGAAATGCATTCTCTCAAGGTTCTGACAGCTAGAAATACGAAAGCAGGCTGTGGACAGAGCTGCACTCCTTTCAAAGGCTCGAGGCAAGGATCTTTCCTTGTTGCTTCCAGATTCTGGCAGCCCTCAGGCCTTCCTTGGCTTGTGGCAGCATTCACCCAAATCTCTGCCTCTCTCCTCACAGGGCTGTCTTCCCTGTGTGACTCTCTCCTCTTCTTATAAGGACATGGGCGGTCCTGTAGGATCAAGGGCCTACCCTACTCCAGTACGACCTCGTCTTAGCTAATGACATCTCTGATGACCCTATTTCCAAATAAGGTCACTCACATTCTGAAGTACTGAGGTGTAGGACCTCAATATCTCTTTTGGGGGGTACACAATTCAACGCATGAGAACCATTGAGCTCTTTACACTCACCATATCCTAACGGACCCCATGCCCCTAACTGAGACCTGGGCCAGAGACGTGGGCATCGCCTAGGTGTCTCCCTTCCCTCGGGCCTTCAGGGGAGGCAGCCAGGTTGCTGTGGCTCCATGAGAATCTGGGCTGAGTGAGGTGTTAGGCCTAAATCTGGCTTGGAGCTCATGACGAGGCTCCAGGCAGGGAGCCATCCGCAGAGGTGTATGGAACAATGCAGGTGCGAGATGCCGGAGGGGATCAAGGTCAGGATACATTATGTCCTCAGATCCTGTAGTGGGGTCCTTAGCTCCTGCCAGCTACCCTGCCACTTAATTATCTGCTGAAATGACTTAATTCACTCAAACAAACAACTAACCAAACTTGGTGAGCACTCATTGTCCATCTCCAGCACTGTTCTCTAAGCCCCAGACCCAGGTGGCCAGCACCCACCCGAGCACTTCGCCTTGGATGTCCTCAGGCACTTCGCCTCCTCCACACCCCAGACAGAGCTCAGCCATCTTCCCCTTGTCCAGGTCTCAAGGGCACTCCTCCACCCATCCTAATTCTCTCAAGTACTGAGCATACCCACTCCTGGTTGCATTCTAACTGTTGCCCACACTTTGCCAGACTCGGTTCTGTTATTACACTATTACACTTTTCTCCATCACCCATTTGAGAGGCCATTGGCTTCCTGCCTGCTGTAACCCCCCCTTCCTCCAAGCCCAACTCCAGGGTATCGCTGTGCAGGGTTCTACACCACAGTTTCACACCACAGTTCTGGGGTTGGGGTGTGCCTTTTTTCTACTGTTTGGCTTAACTTGGGGGTCTCTGTCATGGGCAGAGCTGCGTTTTTAGAAAAGGACCTTGTGAGCAACAGATCCTTAACTGGGGTCTTTGGTTCTCTGTGTGACTAGTGTATACGTGAGGTGAGTCCAGGTTGGATTTCCGAGTCTGAGAATGCACAGTAAAGGGCAACTTCTCACCAGGGTTTTCAAGAGCCTGAACTCTGCCCACCCATTTGCCTCTGTGATCTTCACTGTCACTCAGCTGGCCCCCTGCCTGTTCTGCAAACACACCAGATTGAATCCCATCTCAGGGCCTTTGAATGCACTGTCCCCTCTGCCTGGAATCCCCTCCCCCTGGATATTTTCTGCTTCCCTCATTTCATTTGGACTCTGTTCAAATGTCATCTCCACAGAAAGGCCTTCCCTGACCACCGTGTATAAAACAGCCTCTCCTTCACTCTCTATTCCTTTACCCTGCTTTCTTTTCCTTCATAGCACTTATTACCCATCTGACATAATATATTTATTATCAGTGCACCTCCTTCCCCACTAGCTTGTCAGCTCCGTGAGTGCAGGAGTCTTGCTTGCTTTGCTTACCACAGTACCTGCCAATGCCCAGAACAGTGCCTGACACAAAGTAGAGGCACAATGAATACGGAACAATGGACTAAAAGAAGCCCTGATATTATATGCAACATTTTGTGCATATGTGCGTTTCCCTGGGGTGGGGACCATACTTTTTTTTTT